TGGACGGGTAGAATAGAAGTCGCGGAAGAGATGGGGATGGAAGGGATGGGGAGGGAAGATGACGGGGGTACGGATCTGCTCGAGGGTGAGGAAATCAAGGGGTCGGCGGGACAGCGTCCGAGGACGAAGGCCTTGAGGTGGCGGCTGCAGGGTCGCCATCTTCTTCTTTGTCGTCTTCGTCGTCGATCACCTTCTTCTGCCTTCGGGTAGAAGGCGTAAGGGATGATCTCGTACGACTTCAGATACTCTTGCCGCGATGGTAGCGTATCCTCGTCCCTAGGTTCCTCCAAGCACGAAGTCCGTTGAAGGTACGGATCCAGGGATCGCTAAAAAATGTACGGAGCAGGACTGTCGTCACTCTGAAAGTAGATGTCGGGCGAGAGATTGTCCACCAATTGCACGATCGGTGCAATGAGCTCCTGTGCAATCAATTGACGGCGACCCGATTGTACTGATCCAAAGAGGAATCCAATAAGATCTCCTTCCGCGTTAGTCCTCCAACCCTGTATGATCAACAGCTCCGGATTCTCGATCCACGTGGGATGCTCGCTAGTGCCCGTCCACGTCACCTGTACTCTGGCCAAGCAAAAGGAGAGCTCCTCAAAAGTTTCGCGCCACAACCACCAATATCCAGGAATGATAAGAGGGACTGAAAGAGGCTCGAACTGGAAGTAAAGAGAAGGGTGAAGATCAGATTGCCAGAAGGTGGGGAAAAGAGAGGGGAGACCAAAGGTAGAGAGAGGAGCGAGACGAGCAGCATGGTTCATTGGGGACGGGGGAAGGGGACGATGGTCGGGATCACAACTGGCCGCTCGCGCGGTGATCGGTGAATACCGTCAAGATCCGATACAACGATCGGGATGATGTTATACCCCTTCCGGGCGAGGACGTGCTGCCACACGTTGGACACTTCCTTCGTCCACTCACGCAGCGAGGCCAAGATCGCGGTATGCCGTAGCGGATTGACCGAGCTGAGGTCGCCGGTGAATCCCGCCACTGTGGTGACGTGGCTCGTTCTGGGATCCGCTCGCCGATGAGCTGCAGTAACCTCCGCGAACACTATCGCGTGAGGGCTTCCTTCTATTCGAAATGTGGCGGCGACACAGATACCTTCGTCGCAGAAGAATCGCATCAAACGGCGGAGATCCGTATTAAGCCGAGGGAGACAAACTTGCCGGATCTCGGAGATGTGGCCACGTGGCTGCCGCAACTGTGCGTCGAGAACCCGCTCCGTGATAAAACTCATGGCGAGGTCGGAGAGGAGAACGAAGGATAAGAGGGAGAAAGGCGGGAGAAAGTTAGATCGTCGTCTTTCTCCTCGCTTTCCGAAGAAGAAGAGGGAGGACGATCAGAAGGAGGAAGAAGACGGAGGTAGGAGGTATGTCTTACGATGGGGACGGAGCTATGGATGGCGCTAGCCTCAGGCGCGATGCGCACCGTGTTAGCGCCTCTGGGTCCGAGTTCGACAATGCAAAAACAGCCAGAGAACTTGGGAGCGAGTTTCCAGTCGCGTGTACATTTACGTACCTGCACTAGGTCCCCCAATTTATACTGGTACTGGGGCCCAGCATTTCCGTTCCGGGCCTCGTAGCTACGGATTTGTCTACCGTGGGCCAGCTCGGTCATCCTTTGCCTTTTTCGGGCTAGCTTCGGGACGGCCCGTTCCATCAAATCGGTGTACCTTTTGGCCTTGGCCTTGAGGGCCGCACGCGTGTCTCTACTCCCTGCTTTGGCAAATTCCGAGTTGCCCCGGTAATCGACACAGGGGAGGCTATTAGTTCGAAGCTGAAAGGGGGTAAACCCCGTAGACTCGTGAGGGGTTGCCCGGTGGATCCCGACGATCTGATACACGATTTCGGGCCAAGGACGCGTGTCGTGTGCCGCTAAGTTCCTACGAAGGACGGTTTTAACCATACAGTTGGCATTCTCGGCCAACCCATTCGACTGGGACACGTGGGGTGTCTTATGTCGGAGCATGACGCCCCTTTGCGCAAGCAGTTCTTCTACCTCGCCTTTAAATTCAGATCCATTGTCGGTTAGAATTTCTTCCATATCTAGATGGGTATAGAGGAACCGTTCGATATACGTGGCTACTTCTCCGGCTTTTCGGGTCTTACAGGGATAGACCTCGATGTACTTGGAAAAGTGGTCAATTAATACTAATAAAATAGAATATTCATAGCGGTTTGGGCCAGGTGGCACGTCAATATCTCACGTGTCCATACTGACTCGCTGAAAAGGACGCTCTACTTTCGTTGGTACAGTTGTGTTTGGTCCCCGTATAGGGGTGCGATCAGCGGCACAGACCAGACAGTTAGCGACAATGTATTTGACATCACCTCGTATATTGGACCAGAACCATCGATTCTGGTCTACAGTTGTCTCCGTGACACGTATCGCGAAATGAGCGGCCTGATCCTCGAGAGCAGATCGGATCCAATCGTATCTCTGGAAGGGATGGGGAACGGTCAGCCACGAACCCGATCCGTCTGTTTTACGTTTTTCCAAATTACCGTTGATCCATCGATAGTCCGGAGATCTCTCGGTCGCCCTACGTCTGTTGTGTTTGGTGAGGTGACCCAATGATAATCCCGCTAATTTCGCCAATAAAATTTTATCCGTCCAAACTTCCGCTCGTCGGTATTTTTCGTCGTATTCGGGATCTTTGCTACTCGTCCGATATCGAACGCAGGCCCCGTGCGCACGATTGACACACGTGGCACATTCTACCCAATCGACAAACCCAGTTTCGAAGGGATGACAGTCAACCCCATAAACCCGTGCAATACACGTGCAAAAATTACAAAATTTATCGGGGAGGGTGGCAAAGAAAGCGGAGGATGTGAGAGGGGCAGAATTAGTAGGAGATGAAGGGGTTGCGGAGGCGAGTGGAGTAGCCATGATGTCAGAGGAGGAGAGGATGCAGGGAGGGTAGATCAGAACAATTAGTCCTCGTACCACTTACCGTTTCGGTAAGATCTTCACTTGGCCGTACCGAGGTCCAATTTCCTATTCGGGTTCGTTCCACGGAATTATCTCCTCATTCTTCGGAACTTTCTCAGGCCGGTGTAGTCGTGTCAGTCCGTCAGCGTTCCCGTGTCTCTCGTGCTTCCGATGGCGGATGTCAAAGTCCATGCTCTGCAACACTGTTGCCCATCGCCCGATCATGCCCGAGTAATCCTTCGACTTCTTCAGAGCCAACAGGGGCTCATGATCAGTCACCGGGTGAATTTTCGCCCGTACAGGTAAGCACGAAAGTGACTGATCCCCCAGAGAGCCGCATAGCATTCGCCCGTTGGAGCGGCGTAATTGCGCTTGCAGGCGGACACTGATTTGGACGCATACTCCACCACACTCTCGAGTCCGTTCGGTCCCACCTGGGCAAGAATCGTCGAAATCGCCTCTGGCTGCCAGTCAGTGATGAGAACAAAAGGTTTTTCAGGATCCGGTCTTATAAGGATCGGAGCCGAAATGAGAGCATCCTTGAGTTAGGAAAACGCTTGATCGCACTCCGGCGTCCAGATCAACGGCTGATCCTTGCGCAGGAGATTTGTGAGAGGTTCCGCAATCGCCGCGAAGCCCTTGATAAATCTTCGGTAATACGAGGCTAGGCCCAGAAAGGCGCGAACTTGTGTGATGGTGGTAGGTACGGGCGCGTCTCTGACAGCTGCCACCTTCGGCGGCTCCGGTTGGAGTCCCTTGTCTGTCACCACGTGCCCCAAGAAAGAAATGGTGGTGAGGAAAAACTGGCACTTCTCAAGCGCCACCTTGAAACCTGCATCTCGTAACGCATGCAGTGCCCATTCGATGTGCTGCATGTGTCCCTCGTAGGAACTTGAATACACCAAGATGTCATCCATATATACAATCACGCAGTAGTTGATGATGCTCTGCGCCAAACGAATTTTCCGTACGAAGTTCTGAAAAGCCATGTTCATGGCCCGCTGGAAAGTCGCAGGGGTGTTGCAGATACCCATCGGACATCGAATCCACTGCCATGTACCTTCGAAAAGCACAGATGCTGTTTTCGGTCGATCTTCCTCCCGGACAAGAAGATGATGGAACCCATAACGAACATCAAACTTGCTAAAAAATCGAGCACCCCCAATCGCATCCAATAACTCATCAATCCGGGGGAGGGGATACACATCTTTAATCGTGATATCATTCAACTTTCGATAATCAATGCAAATGCGAATCCCTCCGGCCTTTTTAGGTACGATTACTACGGGAAAAGACCACGGACCTATGGCGGGTTCGATCCATCCATTAACTTCAAACTCCTTAATCCGCTGAAAAGCGGCCGCTCTTTAAGCTGACGAGTATTTATAGGAAGCACAGCTAATGGGCGGATGATCTCCTGTGAGGATGGCATGCTCAATCATATTAGTTAAGCCAATATCATTATCGTGCACGCTCAGTACTTCTGCGTAACCATTTAACACACGGATTAATGACTTCCGGAGTTCCAAAGGAACATGACTCGGGAGGGGGATTGTTGATTCCCCGAAATTCGTGAGGGGCATATCGACCCAATCAATCGGCTGTCCCCGCCGTTCACCGACACTAGAGAAAACGGAACTACTGATGCGAACAGAAAAGACAGTTGCTATCATCTGGGACTCAGCGAGGCTGATCATCTCCGTTTCTTTAGTTTTAGCGTCGGTTTTTGAACCGACCGAGGTCGGTTCCACAGTTAGCCCGGTTAGATCCGTCATTTCTTGCATTAGATTAGGTACGTCACTTACCGGTGCTTCCGCCTCTTGTTTGATCAAGGCGATGGTGACCCCAGTCGTTAATAACGATCTGGGCGGAAAAACAGAGACATCCAAATACCGTTACGTTTGCTGATAGCGCGTTCGTAAGGAAAGAGCCGTACAAGGTGCGAGGGGGGTCCAAATCATCAGCCAGATCGGAGACTTGTAATATAGGTTCCCCGAGGAGGACTGAAGGACTGACCTGGGCTGTTAGAGGTGTGAATGCACTGTCGTCAGAATTCACGTGGAAGCTCCGAGCGGTGTCGGCGCACACTCGAAATTCTTCAAGGGTTTCATGTTCGAAAAGTTCAACCAGATGTTTTCATTCCTCTTCACTGGGAATCCCTTCTTCGTATTCTCGCTCCCTGATTCCATCCCCGAGGTTCGAGAGGGGGCACTCCTCGGGATCAATGTATCGAATCATCCCGATGGGAGATGAGTTAGGGACCCGTTTTATCGTTCGGGTGGAAACCCGCAAAGGAACAGTCTGAGGTTTTCCCCCGGTTTGTGTAAGCACTAATTGTTTCGAATCGAAATGCAGACGTGCGGCCACCGCCATCGCCCAGGGTAATCCCAACAACACAGAATAGGAACGTACATCTATTACGAGCGCGTTAACAAGGACGTGTACTCGTCCGGCTACGTTCTCGATAATACCTACGATGTTCATTGCTTCCTCGTCGGCAGAGACATAGTTGTCTTTGCCAAATTGAGGAAGAATGGATCCAAGTCGTCCCGTCTTGTTAACAGTATCCAATGATATGGCCACGACAGAAGACCCTATGTCGATAAGGGCATTAAACGGTTTGCCCCCCACTTCACAGTCACATTCCGCACTTTTCCATAGGACCGGCCGAGATCGTGTGAGGTGATCCTTTTCTACTAACGAGATTGCTGCTATACGTGCGGCTTCGGGTTCAGGTTCTTTTGAGTCTGGCTTAGGAGGCGCAACTTCCTCACCTTCCTCCTTCTTCATCATTCGTTGTATGCGCTGATAGGTGAAGCGCTTTTGATTTTTCTGGCAGTGTTGTAAAAGTTTATCGTTCGCTGCTTCAGATATGGTAAGCAGATGTCCTACTGGGATAGAAACGCGAATATCTAATTGCTTGAGCATTTTCAGTACATCAATATCCCCTGTCCGGAACTGTGGTCCAGGATTGGACTCGCGATCGACCCATTCGAGATCATCTTGGGCCGATCGGATCGCTTCGATCATTTCGGCAAGATGGAGATACTCGAGGGGATCGACCACGTCAGCCGCGTCAGAGGAAGAAGCTCCTGATGTCGACGCCATTGTCGTCGAAGGGGAAGGCTGCTCCGGGGCGTATGCCACGAGTTCTCTTCCCGGATCTGTGTCCATCAGAGCGGCCACTCGTCCTTGATTAAGGGCGACGGGGGCCGCAGCGGGGGGAGGCTGATTACGTTTCGACTGCGGACAGTCTCGGGCGAAATGCCCGGGCTGTTTGCAGTTGAAACACTCGATCTTTCCTGCCGGATTAGCTAGATGGGGAAACTGAGGGGCGAATCCTGGAGCAGGTGGAGCAGGTAAGAGTGGAAACGATGCAGAGGCGGGCCGAGCCGGAGCTGGGTTAGGCTTAATGAGCCTGCTCATTATCTGTTTCATCCGTTCCATGTGAGCGGCCTGCATTTGGATCAAGTTGCTCACCCATTCGGACTGCTTGGTAGTGGCCGTATGGATCATCTGGGCAAGATGCAAATTGGTTATGGCTGGCGAGGGGGGTTCAGATGGAGTTCCACTTCTAACGGCTGCGATTGATTGACTCACCGAGGGAGAGGGAGGAAAAGCAGCCGGGATATCGGAGACGATTCCGCCGGGAAGGTCATGGTCGGGGCGGGGATAGAACCGTTCGACCGCATGTAGCCATGATCGCCTTTTGGCCGTTACATCCCGTATGGTATCTGTAATATCCTCGTCTCCCTGGCTGATATATTTTTTTGTATCAGCCAAGTTTAGCTCCAACGCTTTACTGATGATAGCCGATAACTGGGTTGTTTTCGGCGGAACCTTTTTCTGCAGTTTCCCTTTCAAGGTCGGACTTTGAAGGTGATCAATAAACAAGTCTTGAGCGGAATTCTCGTCTCGCCCGGATTTATCCAACGTGGTTTGAAATCGATCAATGAAATCGGGTAATAATTCCCCTGGTCCTTGTGGTCGATTTTTGAGTACATACCAGGCGACATCTTCACTAACCGTATCGAATCGAGCCAAGAATGCGCGCTTGAAAGTATCCCAATCTACCCATGTATGCTTTCTGAACCAGTCGTGTGATGTATTGCGGAGTAGCAATGTCAGAACACGGGGAAAATCGGTTGTGCTGTAGTTTTGAGCTTCGACGGCTTCCAGCCAAGCCTCGGGATGGGTATGTTTAGGGAAGAAGGGAAAGGGGGCAGGGATGCTAACGATCACCCTAGTACCGTCCACCATTGGTATTGCTGGTGCAACCGCACTAGACTGAGACTGGGTTACTGGGCGATCTCGATGAGCTAGTTGAGGGTCTCTCCTACCTCTCGCCAGTTCGACTTACTATCATCAGAACCGACACGTGTCGGCTCCGATACCAACCTCACGCCCTTGTGCTGCCTTCCGTTCGGAGTGTTAGCTGTGTGGAAAAGGGGCCCAGAAAAACAGCAAGATGGGGTGTGCCAATGATTGTTTTTTGAAAATTGAGTGTGGGGACACAGACGGAACTGAAATCCCCTGTGTTGGTCTGATGGAGCAAGTCGATCGTTCGCGCTCCGCAGAAGGCGCGCGCGGACATAGTGCGAAAACAGAAAGATTCAAATTCAATCCAAAAAGTACTGTCGGGCTTCCCACCGAGCTACAATCCGTCGTTTAGAACGCAAAGGCTCTGGCACGCTTCGCCTGTCTCGTTTTCATACCAGATCTCGTCTTCGTTCGCTGGTCAGTTATGAATCCGACGTGGATGGTCTCAGCCGAGTGGCTCTTTCCTTATGCTCGTCCTCGCTCCGTATTCAGTAGTGGAAGCCCTTCGCTTCGTAGTGATCAAAATGCTGACATTCGGTGCACAGAGTGCGCGGCCAGTGGGGTTCTACTGCCGTCCACGGAATGACGATTAACTCGTTAAATGGCAACAATACCGAGTAAGGTGGGAAGTGTGTATCGATAATAACAAACCCGGCTTCTACGAACCCCGAACAGCGGTTGGCCGGAGGGAAGTAATACTGCCCGCCGATTTGTGGAACGGCTTCTCGTACGTCCCACTCACATACACGTGTCCTTTCCTTATTGTAAGGAAAAGGTCGCTTTGGGATGAGAGATACGGGAGGCTGGGGCCCAATCGAAGGGTACTGGTCAGTCCACATGTCAATCAATCACAAAATATCCAGAGACGTCATTAAAAGCGATTTGCGCGTCCCCCAATCAATCTTTTTGACACAAGAGAAAGAGAGCAAACGCAGATCAGCTTGATCACGCATATGGCTACGGGTCTAATCAGTTCAACACAACGTTGGTCCCTGAGCGCCTTGTTTCTCAGGGCTGCCTCGTGGTTCGGTTGCTGATGTCGTGCAGCATAAGGCCGATGGCATGCGTAGTGCAAACACAGCTACAGATCCAAACACTCTTGCATTCTTGAACAAAATCCCGACGACACTCGTCTAATCAATTTGGAAAAGTCACGCATCTCTATACATACATTTACTGTGGAAGGTGCGAAAATGCACAAGAAAAGATGGATCGCATTGCACAATACACATGCATACACCGTTCACAAGACAAGTAGACGGGGTCTTTGCGTAGGAGGATTACCCAGGAAACTAATGGAAGAGT